GCGGGTCCGGGTCCGAGGCTGCAGCTCCTGCCGCCGCCGCCTTTGTTGCAGGCGGGCCAGGGGAGGCGGGCGGCGCCGGCTCCAGCCGCCCGGCAGGTGCGCTGGGACCGGCCGGGAGGTGGCGGGGCGCGGAGAAAGAAACGGGACAAGATGGCTGGAGAGCCCGAGCGCGCCGGCTCCTGGGTGCGGGTGGGCGGCCTGGCCGCCTGCACCTCTGCACGGGGCGGGGCAGAGCCCTCCCACCCCCCGCCTTCCCCTAGGCTGGCCCGGGAGGCCTATAATGCCCGCCCCGACCCTTTCTTGCTGCCTCCGCCCCCATTTTTTTAAATATCCAAGCTGACTCTGAACTCTGAGAAAGGATCATTTCTTAGGGAGCCACAGAAGATGGACCCACGCGGTGCACATTCAGTCCACATCGAGGAATTCCCCGCGCCCCTAGAGGGCCAGAGCCCGGCCCTTTGTACTGTACGGGGTCATGGAGTCGTGGGCAAATAGAGAATTTACATTTGTGTCCCGAAGGCAAGGAGTCCTGTACAGGTCTGAGTGGACCCCCAGCAGAGTTTTGCACCTCCCTGGTCATCCAGGTCTACCGCCGCCGAGGTATCACAGACTCTGGGTTTTGGAAAAGTCCTTTAAAGCAAACTGACTGGTTTTTATTTCTTTCGTATTTGAACTCTTGGACAGCCCCTTTGAATTTGGAAAATCCACGTAATAGGTACAGTTCTGTGGGCCAACTAGCCATTCCCTCAATGCTCAGCTGGCTTCTTCTAGTGCCAACCCAGCTGAGTAAGTGCCCTGTTCCCTGTTCCCTGATAGAAAGTCAACACTTCCTTTGATACGCTGTCTGGATGCTCCTGTCTATGGGAAAGGTCTGCTGGTCCGTGCACTGTTCAAAACCTTGCCGGAATGCTTACCCACTAGCACCTGTTCTCCCTCCAGCCTGTATGAACCAGTATCTGCCTGTCTTGAAGGCAGGCAGATATGTCATCTCCTCCCAATCCCTTTTATCATATGCCATCTTCTGGCTTCCTGGTAGTTTCCCGGAACCTGTCCTGCCCAGGCCCCACTATTCCCCGTCAGCCACAACAGTGCTTTGGACTAAGGAGGTTTGTGGGTTGCCAAGCCTTCTCACAGGCTTTTCACACTGCTTTGTCCAAACTCAATCTTGCTGTAGAGATGGAGTCCACAGCCTACACTGTCAATCTGACCCTGAAAGAAGAGCAAGAAGAGGAAGAAATTCAGAGCCGGGAACTAGAGGATGGCCCCATGGATATGCAGAAAGTGCGAATCTGTTCAGAGGGTGGATGGGTAAGTAAGATGTGGGGGTTGTGCACAAGGTGAGGAACCAGCCTAGGAGCCAGGCTTGCTTTCAATCTCCTGGGACAGAGAAGTAAAAATAGCCCAGCCCTGTGTGTTTGCATTCCTGAGAAAACAGCCCTGTGGCTTTAAAAGGCAGTGCAGAGAATGGTGAGTGGCAGAGGCTGTTGTGGCAACAGCCCCTTCAGCCTTGAGACTCAGCATCCTCAGATGGGCAGTCCCAGAGCTGAGACCTTGTCCACCTTCTAACTGCTGGAAACCATGCACAGTATAGGTACCAAACAAATGGGTGTGGACTCTCTGGAGCTTAAGAGAACTGACTTGGGTCACAGAGCTGAAATGAGGAGCGGCTAGGCTTACAATAGTTCACTCAGGAGGGCCACATGTCCACCTGGCCTAGACTGGAATGGTGGGCAGCCAGGAACTGGGATATTTAGCATATGGAAAGAGAGGAGTGATAGAAGTAGATTAAACTAAATGGATGGAAGTAGATCATTAGTAGTTACTAGACTTCATGGAAATTGGCTATGAACTCTGAACTTTTTTTTTTTTTAATGTATTTAGGACAGGGTCTAGAGGGTCTCACTATGCAGATCGGACTTATAATGATTCTCCTGTTTTCATCCTCCTACACGCTAGGATGACAGGCACGTACCACCATGCCCAGTCTCAATCTAGTCTTAGCGCACCCTGGGGGCGGGCCTGCACAGCACACCTGGGATCGAACTCCGGTCTCTGTACTCTGCCTAAGCAGGTACTTTAGTTCACTGAGCTGTCTGGCCAGCCCAAACTCTGAACATTTTAAATAAGCACTAAATTCAACTTACTCTGCTTAGTTTTCCATTGTGTGAGAACTTTATCAGTGTCATTAATGCATACTATTCCTTGTTTCCAAGAAGAGGTCCTAGTTCATAGAACCCTGCCAATTCCAAATTGTCCCATCTACCCTGCTCCCATGGGAAGGGACTAGAGTGCAGGAGGCTCATCTGCTTTGCCCTGGTATGTACGTGTACACCAACATTTGTTCATAAACATGGGCCTCCTGAGCTGCACTCTCAAAAGTGGTGCATTTCACTGTGTGTATATTATACCTGAATAAATAAACAGTGCCAAAGCCAGGCCCTGGGACCGATGTCTGGCCATGCACGCTGTGCTTTGTCTTGGCAGCGTTCATGACCCACCCTGTTCTCTTTCCCACTCTGATCCAGGAAGGAGTCTGTCTCCTCTGGCTGAAAGCCAGACCTCTGGACAGTGGAAACCCTCGGCTTTGGGACTAAATTGGGCAGCAGAGAACACCTAAGTGGAGTGGAGCCAAGAACAAGTGCACTGAAAGTGGGCACCAGAATATGTTAGGGCAGTGAGAAAAGAGCCAGCTGAGGACTTGGCCTGGGCCAGAAAACATCCAAATAGCCAGCACAGCTAGAGGAGGGAGCTGGCATCTGGATAATATGGGAGGTTTTGTGTTAGTGACCTCCAGGCAGCCTGCTGCCGATCTGCTTTTGTTCATGGTGCTGGGTGTTAAGATGGAGTTCCTGCCCTCATGGAGTTGGTAGTCTGGTGAGAAAGACTGGGAGGTAAACATTCATATGCAGTGGTGAATGTCAGCACAGCATGTTCCAGCAGCTGAGAGTGCAGAGCCCTTGGCCAACCCAGAGTTTTCACTTCCGGGAGATGCCTTAGTCTTGAGCACTGGAGTATTTTGTCCCCTTCCAGCCCTGGAACATTTTAGTAACATTTAGAGACACTTGAGGTTGTCATGATTTGAAGTGGAGGTTGGGGCATGTATTAAAGCCAAGGATCTACCTACACATTTACAACACACAGGAGGCCCCTTGCGCATACAACGAGGAATTAACTTTGTAGTATGAGGTTAAGAAAAATTGCACTATGACCTTAAATTAGGTGAAGGAAAGAAATGAATCTGTATTTTAAATATATATTTTGGTTTATAGAAATTTTTGTTAGAGTGATCAGTAAAAGCCATTCAGATGTGTATCATGTTATATATGAGGATAAAACTCCATAGAATTGGAGTAGAAATACAATTCTGGGTACCAAAAATATATACTTTGAACTGAGCCTTAGTCATGTGTAGAATGAGCCAGAGGGAAAGGAGGAGGTTTGCACTGTGCAGAGTTAGGAGTTGTTCCGGAAGCAGGAATGTGAGGCACCAGGCCGGAAGTAGAAAAGGATGGGGCTGAAGTAGGCCAGGCCAGGGGCCAGCACCAGTGTGCTGCCCTGAGTTTGAACTCTCTCTTTAGCAAAATGAGACGTTATCTATCTTCTAAGGGAAGCCCCTGGCTCCACAGGCCCTGTGTGGCCTGCTGAGAAGGTCTGGGCTGAGCAATCAGATCCCCGTTCCCGGACCATGGGCATGGCTACTTGGCCAATGTTCCTGTACCCACAAAAGTGAGATGGGTAGGCTCCACATTGCTGGTGTATTTTAAAGAATTCAAAAGAGAGTATCTTTAGATACACATGAGGGCCCTCTATGGTTTCTAGTGCATAGCAAGTGCCCCACACGAACTACAAGCTCTTGCCCCTCAGATTCCTACTGGCCTTGCTGGGTCGTTGTGAGGCTGTACACTTACCCTTGGAAATAAGTGGTAATAAACCTGCCTCCCAGCAGAGCACGCAACCTGAGGGAAGAACATTCCTTCACTGAGCCCTTGATCTTCTGAGAGAAGGAAGCAGGCAGAGGTGGAAGCCCCCACCTGGAAGGCTCAGAAGGGATGGCTGGGGGCTGACACGCAGACTTCTTCATCCTGCCTCTGGCTGGCCCTGTTTGCCTTCTGCTGCATTCGGCCAGATAAAAGGCTTCCTGTGGTGCCCAAGGAGGCCCGCACAGCAGGGCTGCTGGAGCCTGGCAGTCCACAGAGCAGGGCTGTGAGGGGAATTTCTAAGCATTGCCCTGGGCCACTGGCAAGTAAAGTGGGCTTCTCTGGAGATCTTCCTGGGCTCAGTCACTGTTAGGAGATGAACACCACTCCTGCCTCTAGCTTCCTACCTCTGGCTCTCCCACCACTTCATGCTTTTCCAGAATGTGCCCCACTCTCTGCAGTGACCAGCATAGCCAGGGTGTGTCCTGTTGCATCAGCTAAGGAGAAGAGTTCTGAATATGTATGGCCTAGATCTGGAACTTCCTAGGGAGAGAAAAGACCAAAGGAAGAGCTGGTTAAAAGCCTGCGAAGTAGAAAAGGGGTAGAGTGGAAAATGCCTGGGCTCTCTGGCATTCTAGATTGGAGGAAGTGATCTGAGGAAAATCCAGAAACCGATCCATTTTTACCTCCTAGTACTTCACACTTGGAGATTTTTGCCCATTCCTACAAAACATTGGCTTAGTTTTGTGACAGATAAAACTTGACAGTTCTTTGAAACAGTTCCAAGTGCAGCAAGAGTAGGGAAATCCAGAGACCATTTGCCTAGATCATTTATTCAAAAACATTGCAAGTGACTGCCAACTACAGGAAGTGCCCTCAGCTTAGGGAAGCAAAATCCAGGTTCTGTCCCCAGCAAGCTCCCACTCTAGTGGAGAGGAGAAGCAAAGCAAAAGAATACTGCAGTGTCACAGGTGCCACCACTTTAGGAGTCCATGTGTGGTTGGTTTGCTGGCAGCAAGACAGAGCAGGTGTCCTGAGCAACAGGATGGTTTGCCTGAGTCTTGGGAGATGGGTGGGTGTTCGCCAGGCTCAGAACCGGATGACCTCTGAGGCCCAGGGGAAGAATGGTCAGAGATGTTCATATCCACTGGAATGGCAAGCAGCAGGGTACAGCTGTAGCACAGAGGTGGTGGAGAATTTAGGCTTACTCACACCAGGTGCAGCTTTGTTCTCGGTAGCCAGAAGCCTAGAATCACACCATGTGGGGTCCAGCTCTCAGCTTAGCGTATATCAGCTGTATGACCTTAGCTTGGAAGTGAGGCTCTCTGAGCCCACTTCTTCCTCAATTCACCTAGGTCGGTGTCTTTGTGCCTTCCCAGGGATGTTGAGGGAAATCAGTGAAGCAGTTGCCAGGCCTTTGTTCTTAGGTGCTTCCTTCATGGAAGATGCTCTGGATAAGGGTGAAGGGGATCAGTGAACCTCTTTGGGTGAGGAAGGAGAGGCCATTGATCTAAGTAACTGATGATTGGTGGCCTGATCCTGACCAGGCAGCAGTCTATAGAGACACTGATTTCCCAGTGTCTTAAGAAGAACAGTCTAATCTCCCCGACTCTTGGTAAGCTTTGGGGAACAGCTCTGAAAGTCAGAGGACAAAATGACTAGGCTGAAACAAGCTGCCCAGTAGAGTAGTTTCTTACCACTGCATATGGTCTGTTTTAGAGTAAGACCTATCGTGACCAAGAAAAACTAGCAAAAAGGAAAGCAGCTTTTTCTTTTAATTTATTTTATTTTTTTCTATAATTTTATTGAGAGACAAATAGCAAAGAGACAGTTTCAAATCAAATTGGTAGGACAGTTTCAATAATTAATACATTGCATACTGTCTTCCTAGTGGTTATTTGCTGTACAAGATGCAGATATGATATTCTATTTACAAACACTGTTACAACAAATTCCTCTATTCATTAAGAGAATGTAGCTATCCTAACCATTTTGAATACACAGATACAAAATGGACATTCATTTATATATCCTCTTTTTTGTTTAGTTCCATCATTTGAATATTATAGGTGTGTTAACTCATCAGTTTGGTTTAAAAGAGAGGATTGGTTTTGGTGGTTTGGCTGCCCTTTGCTAGTGGAGCGCCCCCTCCTGCTTAGGACAGGAAGGGGGAGAAGGACAGAGTAGAGACATGGCTTCTCTACTAACCTGGTCTAGGCATCACAGCAAATGTGCTTGTGCCAGCCTCTCATTTCGTAAATCAAGCTCTAATTAGCCCTGCTCTTTCTGGCTCCTCTCTGGGCAGCTTTGGGTTCCCAGTCAAACACAAAGGTTAGTACCCTTGGACATGGAGTGTTGGAGAAAACCACAAAGGCCCCATGGGAAGTAGCAATCCTGTTCAACTTCCCAAGCCCCCTCCTCCCCTTGGACTGAGGGTCTTTGGGCTGCAGGGAGGTGCAGATTGGTTGGAATGGGTTGGGGTTGCTTCCTCTGGGGTGGCTAGCCCCTGCCTGTGGTGTCTGGAGTTAAACTTGAGCTGCTTTCATGCAGTGTATGTGGGGAGGAGAGGCTGACAACATCCAGTGTCCCCCAGCCTGCTGATGGCACTAGAGGGGCTTCCTTCTCAAAGTGCTGCTGCTGTATTTGGGAACCAAGGGCACGGAAGCTGCTGCGGTAGGCACAAGAGGGTCTGTCCTCTTGCCCTTGTCTTGCCACAAGAATGTAGACAGACCTTTTCTTGTGACAGACCTGACCTGCAGAGGGAGGGAAGGAAGCTGTGCAGCTCATCTGTGAGACCCGGTGGGTTCTGTTGTCTGTCTGTCTGCCTGTGCCTGTGAGCCTTGAAAGGCCTGTTAACGTTCCAGGTACCAGCCCTGTTTGACGAGGTGGCCATATATTTTTCCGACGAGGAGTGGGAAGTTTTGACAGAGCAACAAAAGGCCCTCTACCGGGAAGTCATGAGGATGAATTATGAAACTGTCCTGTCCCTCGGTAAAGCTTTGTTTTCCTTTGTCTGGTGGAAGCTGTGAGCCCAGAGAATTGTTTCCATGCCTCCATTCCCTGGTGTATCTAGCATCCTTTTCTCCTGAAGTTGGACTCTTCCCTTCATACCTGCATCCATCCCATTTCTTGCTTTTGATTTGGACAGGATAGAAGTATTATATTGAGCTACTCAGTGGCTTAGGCCATCTCTTAGATTTGTCCTCATTTCAGCCAGGCATTCATATTTTTAAAAATTTGATAGACCTGGATGTGGTAGTGTATGTCTGCAATCCCAGCACTCCGTGAGACAGAGGCAATAGAGTCACGAGTTCTAGCTCAGCGGGGCAACCAAGACTCTATCTCAAAGTAAAAAAAGCAAAAAGCATCAGGGATATAGCTCAGCATGAAGGCCCTGTGTTTATTTCTTATTATTGCAAAGAGAAAAGGATATAACCTTTAAAATGTCACCATGGATCAAGACCTATGCTTTGTTGTTCCGTAGGAAGACTGGCCTCATTGATGTCCTGTCAGCCTCAGTAACTTGGGGACATATCCCCAAAGGATGCCCTCCCCTCACATTCGTGTCCCCCCTCTTACTAGCTTATAGCCATTTGGAGGATTTTCCAGTTTGATCATTCAAGTCCCAGAATGTTCACTGGATCAGTGGCTGCCTCCACCCAGCTTGTCTGCTAAATGCCATTCTTTTGTTTTTGAGCCCAGTCTTCACTAGCAAAAATCCTGAAGCTCCCTTGGACAGATCTATCTTCTGTTCTATTTTTTTTTTTAATGACAAAAATTTTTTTTCTTATCTTTCACAAGATGGGAGTGTGGAGGGTAGATATTATAAAATATAGTACTTATTTCGGTATTGTTCCAGGACACAAACACACAGCCCTTACTTAACCTGCTTTATTTCCTATAAACAGAATTCCCATTCCCAAAGCCAGACATGATCAGCCGGTTGGAACAGGAGGAGGAGTCTCATAATTCCGATAAGTGGCAGCTGCAAAGAGGAACCTTCGCAGGTACTATAGGTAACTCACTTCAGCATCCATCCAAAGGGGATCATTCTAAAGATGGATTTCCAGTTTCCATTTACATTCTGGAAGGTGTTCAGGAAGAGGGTGGGCTGTGAGACACAAAAGATTATAGGAGTTTAAGAATCTCCCAGTCTCCAGCACTTAACTCTGGTGACCTCAGGCAACTTTGAGCTCTCTGGGCCTCTGTGTCTACATTCGATCCGTTGTGGGTTTAAACGAGACTTGATGTGCGACCTTGTCTCTAGGGCTTGCGTGAACTGAGCCTTCTTTGCCACTTGGTCCTGCGTATGTGCAGAAAGAGCCTGGCCGTCTGAGCCGCACACCATGTGCCTCTGTAGACTACAGAACAGCGAGAGGTGTGCTACCAGAGTTACTTACTTTGGCTTCCTGTTCATTTCGAACAGCAAAGGCAGTAACAGGTATAGTGCGCATTTGAGCAAATGTGCCTGAAAAGCACCTAGTACTTCACCAACAAAAATGGTGAGGAGGGTAGCAGTTAGATAAATATAGCGTAGCTTCTAGACAGCCAGAATAGCCGCATTTGCTCTTCTCTGTAGGTAAGAACTGAAAATGCCATGTGAGTTCTGCTTTTTCCCTACCATCTTAACAATTCTAAAATAGAAAATGCCTCTTAAAATCAATGGCATCTGATAGTTTAATTGGTGGCATTTTTTTTTTCTTTAACTGACATATAATGGTGCATCCTATATCCAATGCCATTTTAATTCGGGTGATACAAAGGAATTGCCCCAAACTGTATTCAGTTTCTGTGACTACCTTCCAAATGTAAACATGACAAAAGTACTAACACATTAGTGGACAAGAGCGGTTTTCTGTCCTAAAAGCTTAAATATCAACATTGCCAGTGTGAGTTTTGCTATAGATTGCCTTGATTCATGGGATGGACTTGAGCCCAGGACATCCAGATCTCTGTAATATTCAGTGTTAGTGTAGGTTACATGTGGCTTCTCATTCCCAAAAACATTTTGGCCCCCAGTGACCCTTCCAGGCATGGTACCTGTGTCCAGTTCCACTGGAAGTTCTTAGCTTCTTCATAGTTTAGCCCATGATCCATTTCATAGGTTCTGTCACCTCCCTTCCCTTCCCTGCAAAGAAGGGACAGGGACCCACACAATCGCTGGAAGAATTCCACTTGGTGATCCATATAAATTGGCACATGAATATGAACTGAGACTGTTAAAGTCAGATTTTTGGTGAACCTCAGGTTAAACATTTTGGCCCAGAGTCTCCAATGACCACTGCACCTAACTAGCATTATATTTGTTCCTTCTTGTTTGTCTCCCAGAAAATGAAGAATCTGAACTTAAGTCCCCAGACTGGGCAAACCCCGTACACACTGCCTCCCAGTATCCCCCACCTCAGCACCTCGACAGATTCAGCCTGCGTCTGCCTCGGTGCATCACAGAGCTACCCGAGTGGAGTGAAGGATACCCCTTCTACATGGCCATGGGCTTCCCAGGGTATGACTTCTCAGCTGACGACATAGCTGGGAAGTTTCAGTTCAGCCGAGGCATGCGCCGAAGTTACGATGCAGGGTTCAAGCTGATGGTAGTAGAGTATGCTGAGAGCACCAACAACTGCCAGGCTGCCAAGCAGTTTGGGGTATTGGAAAAAAATGTTCGAGACTGGCGCAAAGTAAAACCACAGCTCCAAAATGCGCATGCCATGCGGCGGGCATTCCGAGGTCCCAAGAACGGGAGGTTTGCTCTTGTAGACCAGCGTGTGGCTGAGTATGTCCGGTACATGCAGGCCAAAGGGGACCCTATCACTAGGGAAGCCATGCAGCTGAAAGCACTTGAAATTGCCCAGGAGATGAACATTCCAGAGAAAGGGTTCAAGGCAAGTCTGGGTTGGTGTCGAAGGATGATGAGGAGGTATGACTTGTCTCTGAGGCATAAAGTGCCCGTTCCCCAGCACTTGCCTGAAGACCTCACTGAGAAGCTTGTCACCTACCAACGCAGCGTGCTGGCTCTGCGCAGAGCCCATGACTATGAAGTGGCACAGATGGGGAATGCAGACGAGACACCAATCTGCTTAGAGGTGCCATCCAGGGTGACTGTGGACAACCAGGGGGAAAAGCCTGTCTTAGTCAAGACACCAGGCAGGGAGAAACTGAAAATCACTGCGATGTTGGGTGTCTTGGCTGATGGGAGAAAGTTGCCTCCATACATTATTTTGAGGGGGACGTACATCCCCCCTGGGAAGTTCCCCAGTGGGATGGAGATCCGCTGCCACCGCTATGGGTGGATGACTGAGGACTTAATGCAGGACTGGTTGGAAGTGGTGTGGAAACGGAGGACAGGAGCTGCAGGAATTGTGCCCAAGCAGCGGGGCATGCTGATCCTGAATGGCTTCCGGGGCCATGCCACTGACTCGGTCAAGAGCTCCATGGAAAACATGAACACTGATATGGTGATCATCCCAGGGGGCCTGACCTCACAGCTGCAGGTGCTGGATGTGGTGGTCTACAAGCCACTCAACGACAGCGTGCGAGCCCAGTACTCCAACTGGCTTCTGGCTGGGAACCTGGCGTTGAGCCCCACAGGGAATGCCAAGAAGCCACCCCTGGGCCTCTTCCTCGAGTGGGTCATGGTTGCGTGGAATAGCATCTCAAGTGAGTCCATCGTCCAAGGGTTCAAGAAGTGCCACATCTCCAGCAACCTGGAGGAGGAAGACGATATGCTATGGGAGATCGAGGGCGAGCTGCCAGGAGCCGGGGAGCCACCAAAAGAATGTGACACTGAAAGCATGACAGAGGGCCACTGAAGGACGAGCTCAGGTAACTGGCCGGGAGGACACGCTCCGGTCCTCGCCAGTGGACGTGTTTGTGTTCACGCACACCTTTTTCTTGTCTCTGTTGTCAAGTTGTCTCAGAGGCTACAGTGTCATCATGTAGGTAAAACACCATCAGTATTTTTCTCTTTGTAGGAAACTTTGATTGCTTGGCTTACTTTGTTTGTAGTTTGTGGCTGGGACCTGCAAGCACTTGGAATAGATGTAAAATGAACAGAGGGTGAGCTGCCAGAACATTTCATCTGAAAGTGGTAATGTTGAAAGAAATCAGGACCGGGGAGATGGCTCAGTAGAATAAGTGCTTGCCTGGCAAGCACAAGGGCCTGAGTTCAATCCCTGGTTCCTCCAGGACAAAAAAAAAGAAATAAATTACTTGGTCCTGACAGAGCACAGTCAGACGTAGCTCCCGTCATAAAGTTTTGTCTGAAAAGACATGTTTTGTTCTTTCCTTTATAACCATGCTGAACTGTAGGAGTCCCTTCCTGGTTTTCGTCTCGGTCCAAGAAGTTAATATTTGTAATCCCAAAGATGCATTAATGGAATCCCACCAAGTTAATTCCAATCTGCCACTCCCAGTGCAACCCATGGCGAAAGTAAAGACACTAAAACATATTTATAATTTTTGGGGAGCCAAGGAGCCCCAGAGGCTGACCCAGGGCCTCACCCAATTTTATTCAGTGGAGGAGTGGCTTGAGGAGAAATGACCAAGAATTGTGGGAAGTAGGTGACTCTAAGCTGAGCTAGGTGGGCGGCCTACATTTACCTCTGCCATATGCAGAGAGGATATGCAGAGAAAGTAATCTGCTTTATGCTGCTGAGATAGTATCTAATGTTTTGGGGGGTCTGGTGCTTCAGCTTTGATGTAGTCTTTCAAGCCCCAGGAAGACATAGCCTCTCTCTCAAGGTTCCATCCCATCTGGTGGCGAGGAGCATTAGCTCTTCATCCTGTCTCAACCAGGCTCACATTAAAGAGCAGAAGGTGTAGGTTACCAGGGAAACACCCATGCCACCTTCAAAGGACTATCACCAGCACCTTAGCTAGACCAATACAAGGATAAACAGAAGTCCTAGCCAGCTCTGTGCATAACAATACGAGGAAATAGGGTCAGGCTCAGTCAAAATGGAGACAGTCGCTCTTCTTTCAAGGAGGTGGTCCTCCGGTGGTCCTCCACACTGAACACTTAGGGCCAGCAATACCAGGTACTGCAGTGTCCTCTGAACCGCAGATCTCTGCTGGAGTGGCCTGCACTGTGCCCCCAGGGAGATCACGCTTAGCTTTGGATTGCTTTCCCCTAGGTTTCCATCATCTTCGTGTCTGCTCAGCTTCTAGTGGGGTGAGGCACTGTGGTATTTTCCCATAGTGAGCATATGTCCCAAGGAAGATGTTTTTAAATGGAATCATTGCACCAGAGCTTAAAATAAAACAGTGCCAATTTAGAACTACAGTGAGTAGAGTTTGAAGCCCTGAGTTCAGAGGAGCAGCAGCTTTAAAAGCAAGCAGGTATGGATGCCTACCAGAGCAATCACTGCCAAAGGCGGACACAGCCTCCGCTCACCTCTCCCACACTCACCCCGGGGGAGCAGGGGGCTTGGCCGCACAAAGGATACCGGCAGACTGAGCAGACAGCTCGCTTTACCATATCCAGCCTCATTTTCCGAATTATCGTGAACTCTGTGCCTCCAGAGTGTTGTAGGCCATTCTTTGACAGAGGACCTGAAGCCATCTTGACATCCTTTTTGTACCTTAAAGTGTCATGTAGGTGTTTGCATTTTACTTAAATTTTCCTGCAAGTGAAACACTGACATGAATCTTCTTCCAGCCCACTTCCTGCTGTTTCAGTGCATCTGTTACAGTGTGACTTACACCTCCTTCCTTTCACCCAAATCAAGTTGTATTCGTATCACCGGATTCCACTATAGTTGAGATCCCTGAATTTAGTAGACCAGTTTTACACTCCAGAACTGACATTTTTTTCTCTCATGTCCTATCTTTCAAAAACCCTATAAATTCAGCCTTCCCTTTCCTCTGAGCGTTCACTAGCTTTGCTTTGTTTTCTTAGCTTTTTTTTTTTTCCCACCCCTTGTTAACATTTGGGGGACTTTTCAATTTTCTAAGCTGCTCCCTACCCAAGGGAGCAGATCAAAGACAAAAAGAGAGGGCAGACACCCGTTCTGAGCTGCAGTGTGAACTTCTGTTCCCACCCGAGTGAGCTTTTGCTCCTCTACATGGGCACCATTCTTTGTGTGGCATGGGACGTGATGGAAGTGAATGAGATGGAGGAGCCACGACACAGAACTGCCTCTTTTTACCTACCTGGAAACCTGATTAATGGGATGACTGTTGTTTTAAACTGAAGATATTCAGAAATACAAGAGTTAATTCACGCTTAGGTTCTGTCTGTTTTCCAGCAGATGGATGTGTGATGGAAACAGTGGGAAGGAGAATCCTCAAGATAATTCTGGAAAGTGTGAGTGCACAGGAGCGGCAGGAAAAGCAACTGGGCTCCGAAGAGTCTGGGTGTAGACAGTGGCCTGCACATGCATCCAGGGACACAGTGTCCCTGCCCCTGCCCTGAAAGGTGTCAGCAATGTCTTACAATCCTTCATTTCAACAGAGAAGATGAGAAATAAAATTCTGCCCCATTGCTTATTTTGGAGATTCCTTCATCTGTCCATCAGAAGAAACCTGTAAATAGGAATGAACAAAGGTATTTCTTGGAGAAGAGGCCATTTGGTCAACTCCAGCAAGAGACTGTGGTGTGGGCACTATTCTCGTGGTGTCCTTTCTGTGGAGAAAACCTCAAGTACATCTTTTGTTCCGCCTCTGAACATGCTTCCAGAAGCAGAATGCTTTTGTAGAAAGGTGTCATTGTGGACACCTGCTACTTGCACATCTCTTTCAGGAAAATTGGATGCTAATGCTAACAGCAAAATTAAGAAAAACTGGCCTGGCACCAGCAGATGGCTTTTCTACAGATACATTAGATTACTGTGGAAGATACAGGTTAAAAGAAACTGTGCCGTTGTTTTTATCATCCCAATCTGGTTGGCAGCTAGACTTTTTTAGGGTTGTTTAATGGCCCTGGTTTTTTGTTTTTTTCATTACATTTAATGATCAGGCAGCATGTAGACCACAAGCCCTTGGTTCTCAGGCTGCCTATAGAAGTCACTGAATTATCTGCTGTCTACGTGGGGCCTGGCCCACTGACACATCTACTTGTTTTGTTAATTTCTTGAATATTTCTATCAGGGCAGTAGAAGGACTTGACTCTTTAGCCACAGCTGTTTCAAGACTTCAAATCTTCTACCCTGCAGGAATAAGGGGAGGTCATCAAAACTTCACACAGCAGTCATTTGCATTCCCACATAGTTCAAGTGTGACAAAAACATTCCTTAAAGCTATCTGTGCTGCAAAAAAATTCACCAGAACTTCAGACCAAGCCGTTGCTAGTGTCATTCCAATGTCAAGATTGGCTCACAAGCTACCACAACCACTTTTCCTTCCTGTAGATTCAGCTCACATCTATAAACTGTTCTTGGCATCTGGAACACCTATTCCTACTCAGGTACTCATTTTCCTGCTACTGATTTACCTTTCGGATTTTTTAAAGCCAGTTCCCCACCTCACACACACAAGGGGTGTGGATTTTTCTGCATCTGAATAACTTTCAGTATTTGAATTGTTTTTCCATGTGCCTGTTCCTACAACTATATTCCTGGTCATCCAAAATTAGCATCTAATCCATTACTTTCCATTCCAGAGGTTTCCATTCCCTCCATTTCTATCTAAATTTCCTTCTACTCTCCTACTTCGCCCCTTCTCTGTGTCTCATTTCTGTGCTTTGGAAGTTTAAAAAGATGTTACAAGACTTAATTTTGGGTTCCTGCATGGGAGCCAGTTACATTTCCAAGAGGAGTAGAAAATGGGTCTGACTCTTATTTAATTCCACAACACCTCGAGCCTCAACTTCAGCTGAGAGGATGCCTTACAGGTTGCATAGCACTGGAACTCGCGTAGAGTGATGGCTCTGCTGTCAGGGTCTTCTGGGCTCGTCCTTCCAGACTTAATACGATATCTATGCCTAACAGAGCCCCAGTACAACTGTTGTACAGAATGGCTATTACCCTAGAGTACTACAGCACACTGAGACATTACGTTCCCTAATAGATAGGAACTGACCTGACAATAAACTTTGATAATAAAGATAATAGCCTATGGTGGTTTTATTTATCTGCTAACATCTCTAAAATTACCTTTTAAAAACTACTGTGTTTATACTTCTCTATCCCGTTTGATACCAATATATTATAATTTTGAATCAAAAAGTGTGCATGGGATACAGCATAAGTTAATGCTGGGGTCTTTAAAGATAAAAAGGGGGGGGGGGAACCTATGAGTGGTTTAAACTTGGCTTTGCAAAGGGAGCCTAGCATAAATACAGTAGTTTAGGCCTGGGGAGATGGCTCAGTAGAATAAGCGCTTCCCTGGCAAGCGCAAGGGCCTGAGTTCAATCCCCGGTTCCGCAAAAAAAAAAGCAACAGAACAATACAGTAGTTCTTTTGCTCAGTTACAGTTCACATGCTGCAGGGGATAGGTACCAAAATGACATGAAGGGAATCCTTAAAGGATATTAGTATCACCACAAGCATGCTAATGAATTGATGAATGGAAAACTTGGCATCCTATTTCCTTAAGTTTAAAACAAAGCAGCATGCCAGGCACTGCAGCACTCTCCTGTAATCCCAGCATAAGACATAGATCACCACAAGTTACAGGCCAGCGTGGGCTACATGAGTTCAATCCCAGCCTCAACTATATAGCAAGACCCTGACTAAGAAGAAAAAAAAAAAAAAAAAAAGTGTCATGAGCCCAGAGGTCACTTAGTCCTCACAACTTATCGTGGCCATAGACTCAAGTAGTATTCTATCCAAGAATGACACAGACATTTTACTCCTTTTCAGATAACCAGAATCAAGTGCTACTGGCCTACTGGCCACACTCATCCTAAGACAGCCTGCTTTCCCTTTTCCTTCTCCCAGAAGCACCTTGGCATGTCATGTGATGGCATGAGTATTCATCCACTGTCAAGTCAGTAATCACTTAGAAGATACTCTGGGAACATCCTGGTAACTTCAGGCAATGGAGAGATGTGACCACAGCCCTGGGTGGAGGTGACTGAGAATGCACACTAAGTCAGTCCTCAGCCTGCTGAGTGAGACGAGGCAAGCCTGTCAACCCTGATTCTGCAGTAAACCTATAGCTAAAAGACAATTATTTAAACTCCTGAAGGAGAAATAACCTGGAATAACTGACGTCTGATCTCTAACAGCTTTTTTTCTGATAGAAGTATTTTTCTAAGTGATGCTCAATAGTAAATGCTCATGATTTCCTAATGATAGAAGAGACGGCACACAGGACCCCACAGCTGGCGGTGGTGTCACAGCTGGAGCCAGCCTTCAGTGGAACAGAATTTCAAATCTTTCCAGGGCTCTTGAAAATCCTACTTATCCCTTCTACTTTTCTGCCTGACTTAACCCCATCTCCCACTTTAGACGATGATTTCTTGAGAACTGGCATGGGACACAGATTTTACTTCATAGCACAGACCTGAAGGAATGAGGCAAAGGAAGTCCTCTCTCATTCTGTGATTCCACCAGGACTGATGACGGCGTTAGGCCAGGTCCAGAGTACTGAGGAATTTTCCAACTTGCAATTTCTGTGCTCTACAGACCCCTCCAGAGGCTGCAACGCAGTGGCCGCAAGACAGGGTGGAGGCTCTGGCTGCTTGTCCCACCTGTCAACCCGTAAGACTTACACATACTCTTTGGGCACCATTAAAACTCTTGTCGGAAACAAAACGACCTCATTCATTCTGCATATCAGTTCATTTCTTCCAGACTTTAAAACATTCTTGAGGACTATCTCACCAAAATTCTGAAGGGCCTGACCCAAGAATTCAAACTAAACTACTGATCTTTATTGTTACTCTTATTCTACATATCCCGAAGAACAGAAGGCACACTCTAATAGGAACCTGCCCTTCAATCCCGTTATAATACATTTTGTAGAAAAGTCTGCCAAAGTCTTATAGTGCAGTTTTTTCTGTTTCTATACAAGGTAAATTCTTCATGTTTAATAAACCAAAAAATTTTCTCCCAGAACATTTATTTGCCACTTTAAAGTACAAAATCAAATACACAGATCCAAATATATAAAGTATATACACGTATCTATATATCCAATATTTTAAGCTACTCAAACCCATCCATAAGCTCCATCAATAGTTTGAGTAAAACAACATATCTTTAAAAAAAAAAAAAAAAAAAGCTGGTTATCAGTAACACTGTCAAATGTAAATTATTTTTACTTTATGACTTGAAAGGATGGAAATAGCTATTTAATAGGAATAGAATTACCAAGCATAAATCCAATTTATTCAAATAGATAACATATGCTATAGAAATTCCTAGATATGCCTATCAATCAGTCTTTGGACAGATGAACTTGTTATGGGAACACACAGGGATGAATTGCATTTCCAGAGTTTTGTTTTGCTTTTGGTTTTAAATGTAAAGAAAGGATTTGACTTTCTAGTAGTACAGCCTTCCCAGATCATTTTCTATAAAATTAAACTGTCCGGGGAATATACGTAGCTATTAAAAATTAAAATGGGTTATTGAAGGAGGTATGTGACTTTTAACACAGTATAGGTTATTTCAACTAGAATGGAGAAGTGTAGTTCTTTAGGAGAGGCAGAAACTATGACTTGCCAGGTACAAAATATCTGATGTCAGTGAACCCAACAATGTCCTGCTAATCATGAGAACTAAGCTACAACAGCGTCTTTATTCCAGGATGCCATCTATCTTACATGCAGACCAAAGGATACCAAGCCTCCGATGCCTGAGCATCCCCACTGCAGGCACAGAACTTCTTCAATGCCTGCGCCCATGACTGGGAACAGACATGTACAAACAAGGGTCGTTATCAGTTGGATTTATATTAATGGCTTCACAGTGGCAACACGAAGTGTGCTCAGGGTCGCATTTCCATAGGAAAGGTTACGTGTATACTATACATTTCAATCTTGAAATGTGAACCCCCAGACATTCAGCTTTCAATAATTGTGAATTTGCTGAGAGTCTCGTACCCTCAAATCCTAACTCAGCAGAGCAAAAGCCCTTCCTTGGACGCCAAGCGCTGGCGGTGGACTTTGTCTTGCTGCAACTCTTCGTGATTTGGGTGCCAGAGTTTCGTGATAATTCTTTCGATGTTAAGGGCATACACAGTATGTGTAGGAATGACTTCCCGGTGTACCTGGAATTGAGAAATGGGCACACCTGCAATTAGACTTCGGGACTTACTTTTCTAACATAGCAAAGGTTTATACTAACAAAACACACACCACCTATAAATTTTAAGTCAGAAATTAATGAATCTCAAATAAGAAAACAAGGAGACAGTAAGGTTCTAAGAAACAGGAGGTAAGAGAACAAAAGAATTATTTTTCCTTTTCTCTCTCTCTTTGAAATGATATACAGAAGATTAAATGGAAAGGATTCCTGGGTTCAGGATTTGGAGAATAAGGCTAGTAGTAATGGTTTTAATATTAAACAAAACATGCAGAATAGCCAGAGTAGACAAAAGCTATTGAATGCTTTTGCAGACCTAAAGAATTTCTTAACATGTCCATAAATCCAGATAAGCTTTAAGGAGTCAAGAATTACCTGCAAAGCTGGTGAGATGGCTCAGTGATCTAAAGCACCTACTTAAGCTAAGCTAAGCTAAGCTAAGCAAAGCACAGGGACCGCGGTTCAATCCCCCAGCACCACATGCTAGCCAGCCCCACCAGCCCCGCCCCCTGATGGGCTGAGCTGGCCACACACACACAAAATAAATAAATAAATAAATAAATAAATATTTAAGAAAAAAAAAGATTTAAAAAAAAGAATTACCTGCAAAGCTTCAAAAAGGTCATACATGTTCACTGGCGGCAGAGAGGCAGGCAGCGTGTCCCCAGAGCAAGCCAGCAAGAGCGCAGCCTGCTGCTCAGCCTCATCCGGGGGTGGGTGAGAAGATGGATTCTGACCGGCACAGGGAGCAGAGAAGGCTGGAGGGCTGAAAGGGACAATGGGAGAAACTGTCCCAGCTGCATAACGGGGACAACCAAATAGCTAGAGTAGAGTGGTTTTCGTGTATGCATTTTATTAGTAGTACCTTTAAACACATTAGAAACCCATTCAATGTACAGACGAACTGTCTGTAGTTTTATTTTTTAAAAGTAGCCCATGGAGACTGAGCATGGTGGCACATGCCTGTAATCCCAGCACTCGGAAGGCTGAAAACAGTTTGATCTGTGTAGTGAGACCCTGAAGACCCTATACTAAATACATTTTTAAAAAAATCAATAAAAAATAAAAGTAGTTCATCTATCAAGCTAGAAATGAAATATAATCAGCTACCATTTAACCAGCTTCCTCTGCAATGTTCAAATAATTTTTGTAGCTCAGGATATGATTCAAAACTAAGTCCTGTTCTTAAAGATCTTCCAGTTAAAATAATAATAATAATAATAATAATAATAATAATAATACCCTAAAGGAATATGGAACTGAAAACAAATGACCCAGACAGGAAAGTATGTAGAGTGAGACAACAAGCTCAAAAGCAAACAGTAAGGAAAGAGACAGCACAAGAGAAGCAAGGGGTCAAGTGCAGGGTGGGGAAGACTAGTCCAGACCTTACTTATTTGCCCAGCAGAATACAAGCTGAGGAGTCAGGTACGATTTTTACTTTCTAGCACAGAGGCAAGATAACCTATTCTATGATGAAGAGCATAACACAGAGATAAAACGAGTGCAGCAGCAACTAGTGTGGGTTTAAAGCATCGCACAAAGGCAGCCCTGTCAGAACAGCAGCCACGGAGAGGGGCTGGCCAGCGGAAAACCAAAACCTCCAGGAACAAGGGACTTTGCCCAAATGCAACGTCTACTATGACGGCCCTTTTTTTGTTTGGTTTGCTCCAGAGAATAACGACTTACAAATGAAACAATCCCAAACAGATATGCTTGAAAGACAGCTAATTAATGAATTATCACATATGACAGTCTCAGCAGAGAACACAATTTAAGGTGGTGCTCAACGTCCTAGCCCTTGTGACCTCTCTGGAGGTCTCACAGCCTCAAGATGGACACTGGTACAACCACTGACACCATCTGCCCTGCCCAGCTCTCAGCTGCACCACACCACCTGCCTGTCTTCCCTCTTCCTTCTTCACTACCATCTCTCCTGCCAACCCTGCCAGCCATACTTTTCTCTAAACTGCAATCTCCCTGTGGCTTCTCTTCTCCCAAACTGTCCAGATAATCAGATACACAAAGTTCTGTACTGAAAAGAAATTCAGTCACTCCTATAATCTTGAGGAACATTTTTTTATCTTTTCTGTCCCAAAAGCTGAAGATTCAGACTAAGCTTTTCTTGCTGCAGGGTGTGAGGAAGAATGAGAGAACACATGGGTAAAGGTAATCTAAGCCACCTCATAAAGGGGCTGCCTCAGCACCTACGAGAAGCCCTGGGAGCACTTGGGAGGAGGGCACAGGAATTGCAGAGCTGAGCTGAGAGGCCAGATCTGCACAACGGGAGGCCAACAGCAATCAGAAGATACCAGCACAGGTCCATCGTGAGCTGTAGCTATAAGTGAGAGAACTGGAGAAATACCCACCAGTTCCTTCTTTTCCTTCTACTGCTGAGAAGCCCAATAACCTTAACAAACAATCACAACCCATGCAGCAGCAGAGCAGACCTGTTCCCTACCACGCAGGACCACCAAGAAGCACGGCCCATGGGGTCTCCACTCCACATCTGAGAGTGAAGGCCACCACATTAAACCTATATGCAGCAGCCCAAACTCTGGAACTGCTTCCAATAAAAGAGTACCAGACAACTCACTAGACCGCACACAAGAATAAGACCTAAAAAAGTAACACTGGAGTCCAGACATGGTGGCACATGGCTGTAACCCCAGCACTAGAGAGGCTGGATACAGGAGGATCACTGTAAGTCCAAGCTGTGTCGTGAGACCCTGTACCAAATACATTATTAAAAAAAAAGTCAAAGGCACTTTAAACCTGCAAAAACACAACAGTCCATTATATGACAGTGGTCATCACATAAGCTCCATGTAACCCACTAGCAAAGGGTGAAAGCAGAAAATCAGAAACCACTTACTTTTCTATTAAATTGTTGTAAGCTACCACACTGTTCTTCAGGTATGGCTGTGGGGTGACATTACTACCAAAGGCATACTTAAAGTGCCCATCTCGCAACCGGTAGGCTTTCCTTCTTGACACAACTGAGGTCAGTATATCTTTCAGGTGATTCTGTAAAAGAAAAAGAAATAGCACAATCTCTCTAAAAGCAAATCATACATCTTCCATTAATAGAAAACAGTTTATTTCACTTAAGATGGAAATGTAGGACAGGACAGGCCAGCAGATGTTACAAGAACATTAACAGAAGAGCTATGGTATCATTCCAGAGCAACAGAGTATAGGAAAGACAGGGACATGCTGATTGTTCTTTAGTTCCCTTTAAAAATAGGCTTGGTCTAGTAAAAATTTTAAAAGTTTCTATGTCTCTAAGTT